TTTTTTTTTTTTTTTTTTTTTTTTCCCCCCCCCCCCCCCCCCCCCCTTTTTTTTAATTTTGCAAAACCATTTTTGGGCTGATAATGTATGAGCTTTTACCTTTGCACTGAGTGATGCTCTCTCCGCCTGATTGGCAGCCGGGGGGTTCAGCTGTTCCAGTGTAAGTGTTTACTCAAGGATGTTCTTAAAAGGTGTGCGCTCTCTACTATGCCTTGATGTTGCCTACCTTATTGTGGTATCGTGGAGTTTAAAAGATCAAGTTATGATACTGACTTAGGATTATTAATGAAAGTATTGCACCAGTTTTTTCATGTTGTAAAACTAAAGAATTGCGCTCTGCAGTTTGAAAAACTGTGGCCACAGCTGTGACTTGCAGCCCACCTGCCACCCAGGACGGGCCCTGCACTTTGAATAGGCTTTCCATTTTGTTTTGAAGGTTCCCGTGTTGAACCTTCTTGTTTACAGATTTTTTTGTTTGTTTTTTGAGGAAAAAAAAATGTTTACTCTTCCATCATTTAAAAAAAACTTAAAAGACAAAAAAAAAAAAAAAATGGAGGATGATTTAAAAGATGCTTTCTATCTCTGGGAAAAAAGGAGCAGCATTTGGCCATGTTCTTTTGTTTTTCTATTCTTGTCCTAAATCAAAGAGCATGGTTCTCAGGAAAACCAGTTCCCCAGTAAAAAAAAAAAAAAAAAAAAAAAAAAACCCCTTGTAGTTTTTTATAGGAAAAAAAAAAAACCCTTTGTGGTTTTTTATGGGAAAAAAAAAAAACCCTTTGTGGTTTTTTATGGGAAAAAAAAAAAACCCTTTGTGGTTTTTTATGGGAAAAAAAAAAAACCCTTTGTGGTTTTTTATGGGAAAAAAAAAAAACCCTTTGTGGTTTTTTATGGGAAAAAAAAAAAACCCTTTGTGGTTTTTTATGGGAAAAAAAAAAAAAAAAAAAAAAAAAAAACTCCTTGTAGTTTCTTATAGGAAAAAAAGAAAAACCCCAACTTTTAGCACTGATACTACGTATTGCTCTGTTAAAGAATTTTCTCTGCCAAAAAAAGAAAAAACAAATGCTTAAAGCTGGAGTTTAACATTCTGCTTTCAGATGCTGTCTTTTTATTAGTGAGTGATGATGGTTTGCTAATAATCAATAGGTAATAATTTTTTGTAATCCCATCAAGTGGCTCTATATGTTTCTGCTCTCTTGTGACTGTGTTAATGTTTAACTGTTGTACCTTAAAGCTGAAATCAGTAACTATGCATACTGTAACCAAGGTATTGGGCTTACAGAGTTGTTTGTTGTATAAAGAAAATTTTAAATGTTGTTGCAAACTAACGAGTTATACCATTTTTAAATTTCTTTCCTCCCCCTTTTTCTTTGCCCACAAATGGTATTATAATGCTTGCTTAGTCAAAGAAGACAGACTAAACAAGGGTAAAAATTTTAACAGTACAGAATTTGCCATCATTTCATTGCCTTGATTCTAACTGTTTGTGTCCTAAGATGCAAAAGAAGTCAGTGGCTTTTAACTGTTTACAAATAGAATGTGATTGTAAAATGTACAGTTTGGTTGTGTTTGAATTATGAAATTTCTTCAGATATAATAAACCATGACTTTTTGGCTGCTCAACATTAATTGTCTCTTTTTTGTGAATTTATTTGTAGGCTCTTTTTATAATGAAAGTTTCAAAGTTGCTATGTATGAGGGTTCTCATAGAGCAACCGATTAAAAATCTAAGCAAATATTTGAACATTTTATCTGAACTTCTCCACAATTTCACCCTGAAATAATGTGAGAACAATGGGAAACTGTAGCTTGCTCCTTCCTACCCTCTTTGAGCATCTTTGGGATCTCGTTGCTCAAAACTCTTCTGTGACTTCATCTTCCCCACCATTTGTGCCCATCTCAAGCCTCAGCAAGAGACCATTTGGAACATGAAGCTTAATGACTTGACAGCGTACTAGTGTTAACTCTCATACCTCTGTTACAAAATGAGAAATGCCACAACCTGGATCCACTGGCCTTTTCTTCCCCCTCCAACGGCCCTCGCTTCTCACTGCAGGAGCTCTGGGGCCAAACCTGTGTATGTTTCAGTGTATGATTTCAGCTCATGCTCCAACTTGCCAGGTGTAAGCTAATGTTGTTGGACATTTTCTATAAGCAAATGTTGTTCAATGCATTCAATGTATATTGACTTCCATACTGGTTTTTCCAAAAACCAAAGGTAGCTTTGAAAAACCACGTCTGGAAATGTTGGGAACATTAAGCTGATTGACCTTTTGGGGCTTTGAGTAGTATATAATTGACTTCATAACTGCGTTAATTGTATCGTTACAGTGTTTGGGAGTTTTTTGCGCTTGTTATGTGGAAATAAAGTGTTTGATTTAAAAAATTTAAAACTGGTTCTGATTTTTACCCAGTCCTTAAATAGTACAGCTCTGTCCCTAAGTGACTGTGACTCCTAAGTCTTTCTTAATCTGTCCCAACTGCCAGGGCCTTAGTCCAGGCCTTCACCTCCCACAGACCTGCATCTGACTGTGCCGTTCCCCTGGCTTAGTGACCTCAAGTCAATCACAGGCTACAAGAGTGAACTTTTGAACACAGCCAGTTGGTCATTTTCAAACGCCTCACAGCGCTGCTCTTGATGTGTTCTGAGCTCTGGACGTCCCTATCTTCTGTGCACTGCTATTCTGACTCTGCCCCTCTCCCGGTAGGCCTGCCCGAACCTCCCCTCAGAGACTTGAGATGTCATTGAGGACAGCTTACCCTGCACTTTCTTCTCCCCATTAGGAGAGAGCACCTCCTCCCATTGCTGCTTGCTACTAAAGTGTGATCCCATCTCTGATTATTTCTTGAGGTGCTGTGCTAGGCTACCCAGTGATGAGTAGGCTCTACTCATCTTTGTAATCTACCTTGTCAGACATGCTAGTTGCTGAATCAATATTGGCAGGAATTATAGCAGTGCTACCTTTGACATCTAAGGACAAAAGATTGTGGGAGTGCCATGTCGTTAAGTTGTACAGGTGCATGCAGGGGGCAATGCTCATGTTGAGGTGAAGTCCTTGAGAGGTAAGGCCAAGCTCAGGTTAAACAGTGTGAAGACAGGGATTGGGATGAAGAGGGAGAGTATTTGCATCAAGGATGAGAGATGACAAATTGAAGCTGGCTTAATGTTCGGCATGGACATCATTTCCATGCTTTGGGACTTGCCTGGTTTTTCCTCTTCTCCAAATTTCAGATCTTTTCTTGCTGATCTTTGCATTTGGATGCGAGAGGTGGGGGTCTCTGAACAAGAGCCAGAATTGGAACCCAGTTGAACCTTGAGAGCCCTTACAGAGACCAGGCCTCCAGCCCTGGTGAGACTAGGTAGGCATTTGCAAGGTCCAGGGAGAGGGAAAGTCACAGTTAATAGTGTTAAGGGTTCTCTCTACATGCCAGGTTCTTTGTATGCCTTTTCTTACTTTCAGAGCTTGCCAGCCTGGCCCTAGAAGAAGAATTACTGCACCACGTTTCTCAGATTGTCCATAACATAGCCCCAAAGTTCGTAGAGGATGGAGGATGTGGATTCCCCTTGGGATCTAGTTTTACGGTCTGAGTTTTAGGTTAAAGCAGTATACATGTTGCATTCTGCCCATCAGATCTTTCCATCTAAATTTTTTGTTTTAAATAGGTAAACTGCTTTTCTTCAAAAAAAATCTGGTGCTTCACAGAGATGAGCCACCCCACAGCAGGGCACAGTCAGGACCAACATACTGCACTTAAGCAAGGCTGCAAAGTTTCAGCCAGAGCTGCTGATACATGACGCGTGGCAGGAAGGCACTGAGATGTGACAAAGGGGCTCGAGAGTGATTTCCCCATTGGCTGAACCAGCCTTGAGTTTATGGGCCCTGTCCAGCCCACAGAGACCCGGATGCCCCTGTCCTGAATAGCTATGTTGACGCCCTAGGTAAGGAAGCCCTCCACTCTGCTGGCAGAGCCGGA